CCTCTGTGGAGCGGTCTTGGGGCAGCTACAGGCTGATAATACTGCCCTGATAATTTTGGTACACGGACAGTGAGAATCCGCTTCCCGGGTGTTTCTCTTTCGAGATTCATCCGCACCCCCAGCCCGATAGTACAACTCATCGACGTTGCCGTCGGAGTAACCTATCGGCTGCTCACATGGGTTCTCAGGTATAACGCGTTCGTTTGTCGGACGCGTCTTCTTCTGAGTAATCATTGCCTTGTTGGCCTCCGCAAGAGTCGCACGTTTGGAATCACTCCTTTGTGAGGGTGAAACCTTAACGGGCTCTTGGTCCTTTGCACGCACCGCCGAGCTGGTTGTTGCAAAGATCGATTTGTTAGGAGATTGCGCACGACCCCCAGTCTGGATGTTGGCTTGAAGCTCCTTCAGCGATCTCCAGCTTTCCTTGACAAGCGCTTTTCCTCGATTCTCGGGTAGAGCGTCGATACGGTTGTTCAGAGGATTCTTGAACTTGGGGAAATCCACGCTGCGGTGGGGCTTTACCGAAGGTTCGGGACCTGAAATGGACGAAGGTTGGAGAGCAATATTACCTGCTTTTACCTTAGGCGTCGATTTGGCCTTCGGCATCCAAACTCGTTCGGATTTCGGCGATCTCTTAACTGCCTCTCCCTTTAGCATTTCTCGTGCTTTTTGGACTAGGGCTCGGGCATGCGCACGCAAGGCGCGACGCTTCTGGATTCGCTCCTCGAGAGTAGAACGGGTTCTTTTGACTTGAACCCATTTGTTCGTTTCTTCTTCGGAGGAGGGGCTGGTTGTTTGCCGTGGTTGCTCCTGGCGTTGCCTGGATTTTAGATCTACGTTATAGCGGATCCCATCCATCGGCTCCAAAGCTTCGGCCAGCTGTCGAGCAAGACGTTGACGCTGTCTTTGTCGTGCTCTCTTTGATAATGCCGGAGCGTCTTCAGAAGTCATCTCCTCGGCGGAAGAGGAATCCGGATCTGCGATCTCGACCAGGTTGGACGACGTGGGGACGTCGCGTGGTGCAAGTGCAGAGGCGGCAACGGGGTCTTGGATTTTTGAACCGAAGGACCTGCAATCATTTATGAAAGAGGTTACCTTTCTGTACCCGTTTGGAGAGGCGGATCTGGAGGAGGAGGAAGAGAGGCCTTCTTTGAACCGTTGTTGATCGAGCTCGTGTTCTTCATTCACCCCGATCTTGAGTGCTGGTTGCGTCACGACGGCGTCGGTTGCGATGCCGTTGGCTCCCACTGTGGTCGCCAGTCTGTTTGCGGAAAAAGTTGCTGTATTCATTGCTGCATTCATTACAACTTCAATCGTTACAATGAAATAAAAAGATAGCCTTTTTATAAGACCGGTACACAATGAAAACAAAATAAATACAACTCTTTTCAAACAAACGCAAGATCTGTTTGTCATCTCTTGCTTGCGTGGGTCTTTTGCCTGTGACGGGGATGTTGATATCCGTGGACCACCGGGGCACTCAGATCTGGTCCGGATAAATCGGACAGAGTTTCGTTGATCCGCGTGAGATCTAGAAACTTTCTGATCCGGATAAATCGGACAGAGCTTCGTCTATCCGCGGGGGGATATAGAAGCAGAGCTTCGTCGATCCGCGTGAGATCTAGAAGCTATAAGCGTATACCTCGGCTAAAGCGAGGTAATAGCTCTTCTTAGTATCAACGCTAAGGCCGATACTAAGGATCTGACGGGTGATGAAGGCTCTGATCAAGACCTCTCCTCCTCTTGTTGAAGCACACGGGCACTCTCCACTGCAGCAGGGCTTCGCCAAGCTCTCCAAAAATCCTCCCCAAATCAAAGGCCCTTAGGGGGCTATTTATAGGCATATGGAGGTGTGTAGGGGGGTCTAGGGACCACTAGGGGGCGTGGACACCCCCTGGTGTCTCGGCCATGGCCGAGACACCCTTGGGGTGTCTCGGCCAGGCCGAGACACCCTAGGTGTCTCGGCCAGGCCGAGACACCCCTTGGGTGTCTTGGTTTTGCCAAGACACCCCTGGGGTGTTTCGAGCTTGCCGAGACTCCGTTTAGGTGTTTTGTTGGTTCCCCTGTATATTCTTCGTCCGGATTCGGATTCGAGTGATTCCGGGTGCGTTGGATGCATGACGAAGAGTTTGATCCCCTCTGGTGATTGGATTATCTGTAGAGTGGTCGAGGCATGAAGGGCGTTGTCCTTTTTGTGAACAGTGCCGGGCTTCCCGATTGGTCCGGGTCTTCGTGATTCCGAAGTCCTATCCGCTCACGTAACTCGTCGATTCACTTCGGTCGTTCGTCGACGTCGATTAGGCTCATGTGGATTGGATGGTGACGTTCATCGTCGCTCGTTAACACTGAACTGGTTGTGGAGAACTATAGGCAATTTTTGATGCCTACACATAATGGCGAAACAAGCCGATTAAAGACGACCTTATTCCATTGGATACACAAGTATAAACTGTTTCCCCAGACTCCGAAGAGTATACGAGTATAAACTGCTCCTCGATACTCCAACATGTATATGAGTTTAAACTATTTCCTTTCTTTCACGGGAAGTTCCTGGAGAGCGCTATGCATAGTACTCTTAAGGATAACCCGATCATGCAGCTGAATATAATGATAAACCCAGTTTCATAAGAAAAGCTGGGGGTGGATGGTTCATGTAAACGGGAAGTTCTCGGAAGAATGCTATATGTAATTTTCTTAGGGATAACCCGATCATTACGAACAAAGTGATAAACACTACATCCCCACGATGATTTTCGAATACTCTTTCGCTGAGATGAGATTCGATCACTTCTTTAGATCAATCTTCCCTCACAAAACTCATATTTGGTCAAACCTTTAAACAGTTAGGACCAAAGCCATAATCCCCTCTCGATTCCTTCCACGAACGAGAGGTCCACAAATTAAACGATCAAACCTTTAAATAGTTAGGATCGTCTCAAGTCCCCATTTGGTCAAACCTTTAAACAGTTAGGACCAAAGCCATAACCCCCTCTCGATTCCTTCCATGAACGAGAGGTCCACAAACTGAACGATCAAACCTTCCTACAGTTAGGGTCGTCTCAAAACTCCCACTTGGTCAAACCTTACTACAGTTAGGACCACAGCCAAAATCTCCTTTCGATTCATTTTTGCGAACAAAAGGTCCACTTTTGAATTGAGTAATCAAACCTTATGACAGTTAGGGTTATTCAAACCAATCCAGATTCTCTAAGTGGAGATCCCACTTCTAGTTTCCTTTGCACTAGGAGATAGAATATAAAATTCTTCCTCTCCGATTTCGGGTTCATCTCTACCAACAAACAAGAGACCAGGAGATAGAATATAAAATTCTTCCTCTCCATCATCGGGTTCATCTCTACCAACAAACAAGAGACCAGGAGATAGAATATAAAATTCTTCCTCTCCATCATCGGGTTCATCTCTACCAACAAACAAGAGACCAGGAGACAGAATATAAAATTCTTCCTCTCCATTATCGGGTTCATCTCTACCAACAAACAAGAGACCAGAATACTCCAATAGGTATACGAGTCTAAACTATTTCCCTAATCTCAACAGGAAGTTTCTGGAGAATATTACTCAAAATATTCTTAAGAATAACCTGACTACCTCCCAACGGGTATATGAGGTTAAACTATTTCCCGAACACTCCAATATAGTATATGAGTATAAACTATTTCTCAAATTCTTCGACAGCAGTTTTAATTCGAGACTTCGACAATGGCCACGCGATAAACGCAGCACCGGAGGGATTTTAGCTATTCTACAAAGCACTGAATAGGCTAAAAGATGAAGAAGTCAAGGATTGAAGCCATTCACAAACTGTTCTACGCAATTTCCTCAACGAAGCACTGGAGAGATTGCAGGGAAAGCTTATCATATCCAAAGTGTCCCAGACCGCTCTCTAAAAAATGATTAGTCTGAGATACTTTGGAGGGGGTATCTGTAGGCGTCAAAAAATGCTTACAGACGTCCAAACACCACTCAAGATAACATAGAAGAACATTATACACATCATCAAGCAACTACATGGCAGTGCGGCAGGACATGGTGCCGCGGCTAAGGCGCGGCAGACCATGGTGCCGCGGCTAAGGCGCGACAGCCTATGGTGCCGCGGCTTAGCCGCTGCAACCTATGGTGCCGCGGCTATTACAAGAAGATGTTGTGGCAGTTATATGGCAGTTATTCGATGATTATTTGAAGTCCACATAGCGGCATATCAGAGATAAAACGTGTGCTGACGTGGACGAGCAGTTAAACAACGAAAAAGGTGGTTAAAGGTTGTGGAAGAACGATTTCAAACACGAATGAACGTGGGTGTAACTGCCCCTTTAGCCGCGGCAGTGTCGACTGCCGCGCTCTTTGGCCGCGACAGTGTCGACTGTCACGCCCTTTAGCCGCGATAGCATCAACTGCTGCGCCTAAAGAGGCAGTTGTTGATCGGCTATTTCTTCAGTTATCGTCTAAGGAGGCTATAAATACCCCCCTATGGCCATCATTGACAGGGGCTGAGCATTTTCAGAGCAGGTTAGAGCAGAGAGCCTTGAGTTTTGGTGAATTAGAGCAAGAAAAAGAGTCTTCCTTCTTCACAAACATCCTCAAGAAGCTTTTGACCATTCCTAGAGATCTAAGCTCTGACTTGATCTTTAGAAGAGTGAATATCTTACATCGATAAGATATTCGCTTCAAATTCCTACTTCGATAAACGAAGGAAGAATCTCCAAAACCTTCACGATTTAATCAGAATCTGTGAATCGGTGGTCCACGAGTCAAAGCGCTCCCGGCACAGGCAAAGATCCCATGCAAGCAGCGATCCAAACAACGATCCTACGCAAGCAGCGATCCAAACAACGATCCTGTGTTTGTTTCTCAAGAGTTATAATTTTCATTTTGTTGTGTAAAAGAGGTCTTATAAAAAGACTATTTCTTTGAATTTGTTGTAATCGACCGAAGATATAATGAATTCCATAACAAAGTCAACTTTTGACGCAAACACATACTATCAAGACGTTCATCCTCTTCAGCATCTTCAGTATCACCATCGGCATCTACATCCTCATCATTAACCTCTACTATTATAGAACCCCCCGGTAAATCAACTGAAACATGACCCGGTGAGTTGTGGAACACGTCATTCGACATTGCACCCGACTCATTTTTTAAGCGCATGGCACTTTGAGATAACGAGATTTGACTTTCAAGCATGCGAGAGAACTCTCCACGAGCATATGAAACTTCAGCAACCCCAGACATTGGAATATTTTTAATAAACAACTCGATTGATATTTGTTTTTTCGCATGTTGTATCATGTTATTCAATTCTTCATCATTGGTAATCTCTACAACAATTGTTCTTTGATCGTTTATTGGACAATTACAGAAGATCTTAATGGAATTTTCAACGTGATTAATTACAGTAACTCTGTATATTTGTGCCATCAATCTATCAAAGTTGCAATTTCTCAACAACATGAACATTTTCCTAGCCTCCATCGTATATAGGCATATTATTCATTCTAACGCTCAGTTTTCCATTGAATAAGCAAATAATCGGTACTCCATTCGCCATTTTAACTAAAGCATTAAAATTCATCATATAAAAATTATATTTTTTTTCCAAACATTTAATCATAATTATATATTTCTTCTAGATATACAACATTAACTAAACAATACAGATAAATTTATGGAAAAATAAAAATTTGTACCTTGATTAAATTTCAGATCTCCTCGGCCTAGTAGAGAATAGACGGCGTCGACGTCAGATTTGAGGGAGGAAGAGGTGAGTTGGGTTTGGGAGAGAGAGATAAGGATTGTTGGATCGGATTTGGGATAGATGGAGATCGGGTTTGGGACGTTGATCGGCTTGGGAGAGAGTGAGAGCTCGGGAAAGAGAGAGGGGGAGATCTGGAGTTGGTGCTCAGGAGAGAGAGAGAGGGGGAGATCTAGAGTTGGAGCTCAGGAGAGAGAGAGGGGGGAGATCTGGAGTTGGAGCTCAGGAGAGAGAGGGGGATCGAGAGTTGGTGCTCGGGAGAGAGAGAGAGGGAGATGGCGAGAGAAAGAATTCGAGAGGCGAATGTGCCCTAATTTGAGGTTTATATATAGTCTGCAATTCTACGGGACTAGTAGTCCCGTAGAAATTGTAGAGCTCACTTGTATTACGATAAATCCATGGGACTAGTAGTCCCGTGGATTTCCTGGGCAGAGGGGAAGTGGCTCTGCAAAACGTACGGGACTAGTAGTCCCGTACGTTTTGTTAATGAACAGAAAATATATGGGACTACTAGTCCCGTATATTTTCTGAGTTCGCTAACCATTAGATTAGTTGGCTCTAAACATACGGGACTAGTAGTCTCATTGTTTGTAGGAAAAATTGCAAAGAAGAGAATAAAGAAAATTGACTTGGATTCCTTTGATCTCAATTACAACTTGATTACAAAAGAGAAGAGAACGAATTTGATTCTCTCCTTTGTTTAAAACTGAGTTCTTCTCGGTAGCGATGGAATGCCTCCTTCGATTGCTCGCGTCGAAATTGCTCTCCGTTGACGATCCGACCGTCTTCTATCTCGTGGGAACGATGAACTTCTGTGGAAAGTTTTATAAGTAACTCTTCAACGAGTTTAAGAACTCTGAACGAGTTAGAACTATGTGAATAGAGTTGTTAGAACCGAAAATTCGGTTAATGATCAAGCTGTTATTCTGTTGTTGAAGAATCCTCTCAGATTTGATCTTCTGAGTTTGATTCAAAAATCCTATCTCCAAGGATTTTGCTGCTGCAGCTAACCCTTCGTGCGGTTGAGATCCTTCCGAATTTCCAAACCCGTGCGGTTCAGATATGAAAAATCCAACCAGCTAGCCCTTATCTGTTTGAGAACTAAAAAATTTCCAACCTGAGCGGTTTAGATCTTCAGAATCCAACCTGTGCGGTTCAGATGCCAAAAAACCAACCAGCTGCTCCGTTGGGTTTATTGAGCTTTTATAGGGGAGTAGGAGGTTGTAACTGACCCCTATATCCGCTCCTACGTGGGCGAACATCCCTTAGAACGTGGGATAAACGGTTTTGGAACCGTTCCACTCATGTTTGAACGAGTCAAACGCCCATTCTGGCGTTCAGAACCCAACTTCGTGTCTTAGGATTGAGACGCGAGGTTGGGTGTTAGCTGAACACCACTAAACGCGAGGGTCACTTGCGTTTAGCTTGTTGCCTGCTTGGAAACGCGGGGGTCAGTGTTGGTTGAACCCCTATGAACGCGAGGGTCGCTCACGTTTGGCTTGTGCCTTGGAGACGCGGGGGTCGCCTGCCTTTCCATATTTATAACGCGGGGATGACATCCGCGTTTTAGAAGGAGCTTTTTGACTTGTAGCTTCTTCTGTGAAGCGTTGCGAGGACCGTTGTTTAGTAATCCTGGCTTTAGCTGTTGTAGGGTATGAAAGTTGTCAGATTGTAGCTTTCACTGTAGAATGTGAAGACTGCTGAATAGAGTTTTCATCAGTTGTCGGAAGTGTCGTTGAATTGTAACTCTTCTCGATCTATGTGAAAAGTCCTCTATTTGCCGCTTTCGATTGTCGACCCGAAAGCTATTTGATTGTAGCTTTCATTGTGAGAGCTTGACGGGAATCAACATCTATAGTGTTTTGAAGATGAATATTTGCACACAGCTCTCTACCAAGCAACTATTTGATTGATTGTCGGCGCGAAAGCTATTTGATTGTAGCTTTCGTTGTGAGAGCTTGACGGGAATCAACATCCATAGTGTCTTAAAGACGAATATTTGCCCACAGCTCTCTACCAAGCAACTCACCACCTAAGTCCAACCTTTTCTTTCTAAAATCATTACACTGCTCATCAGCATCTCCAATAGTTGCTAATAATACTATTCATGCTGTTGTCGCAGCCATCAAGATCAATCATCTCAGAAGTGAGGTCGCGTTTGTGGCGATTGTGGAGTTGCGGATGCAGTGATTGGGAAGTCGTCTGATTGTGACCTTCATTGTCGGAGCTTATTTGGATCAGCTATCTATTGTGATTTTTAGACAGCCTACACCCATATGTTTTCTGAAGCCACTTTTTTAAAATCGACCTCTTTTTTGCCTATTGGCCAAAAAGATGTCTATTTTGCTAATTATTTAGCAAAGTGGTCTATTTTGCTATATATTTCATAAAAACGGTCTATTTTGCAAAATTTCCCTTTATTTTTTGGTTAGATACCAATGGACCTGTTGTAGTATTGGTCCAAATGTAAATACGCCTCACTACATAAATTTTTTCTACTCTTTTACCACTTAAAAAATCAGCAGTTGTATGTCTATCCTACGAATAGATTTTTAAGGAGTCTTTATGCCTCTTCAATGCCATTTTGACTATTTTAAGAGTAAAAAAAATCACTTAGGGATCTATTCGCACAAATAGAGCTACTAGGGGGCTACTTGCAATTGGGCAATAGTGCATCGAGTAATTTTTCTTTTTATCTTTAAGCCTAATACATCAAATACACATTATTCTATTCCTATGCAGTATTTACAAAAAATATAAAATTTCAAAATATTATTGTCGGCTTCCCCCTTCTCCTCTTCCTCTATTAACATTCTTTCCCCTCTTCTTACCCTCTACTTTCTCCACTTTTTTTCTTAGACTTTCATCCACCCTCTCCTCAACCGTCTCGCTTCTCTCCATCTCACAACGCTCCACACCTTTCACACTCTCATTGTCAACTTACAAGCTTCATTGATATAACTTTTTATGTGTTATTGTTATTACTTATAAGTGTTGTTACCATATTTACATGCATTATCGCTATACTTATAGCTTTCTTTGGTATTGTTATGGTGTTCACTCACCCAAGATATAGTATTTGCAATGATACAATAAAGAGTCCTAAGCAAAACAAGCTCAACCCTTTGGCCAACTCCCACAGTCATCTCTCGGCCTTAGGGAGAAAGAGTGCCCTAGTCAACTTTTAAGAGTTTTAGGCATTCGATTCCTCAGTCAAATATTAAGCCATTGGTTCTTTATCAAGGGATAAACCCAAGGCACAATTGTAGAGGCCTCGGCCCCAACGACTCATCAAGCCAACACCTTGGTGTCAACACAAGAGGCGATACTTGTCGGTACGAGAGATCCTGAACTCCCAGACAAGACGACATTCCAACCAGTCAAAACAAGCTGACGCTCCTGAGTTGACGCGAAAGGAGGTGCCGGTCAACCCTATTATCAAGGACGACCCTATTTAGGGCACTCGACCACTCACTGGACCTTTCTCAGAAACAACTTAAGGGATGTTCTTGTTGTCGACTAAGTTGAGGACTCGACTCCGGTCTCAAGCCTCTCCCCCAGAGCAAATATCGACATCTTAGTCCACCTTGAACAAGCTTTATCCAGATTTTGGCATGATAAGTCTCCACGACTTGTCAGCTCAATCACTTTCCGGAAAAAGCGGAGACATCCTCTCCAGAGCTGAAGTGACTTCCCCTCTAGTCACCAGCCGACACCTGTAAAGTGAGTGACGGCTCAGAATGTCCACGTGCCTTCTGCCTCGCTCGCAAGTCACTTCCCGGATATCGCGGAGAGAGAGAGAGAAGTGAGTGCTGGTAATGGACACTTGGTAGTGATAAAGTTTAGAAAAGTCGGATAGAGTGGGGAAGAGGATATTGTTGAGTGAAAGGAACGAGTTCCTTGAGAAGTAAAGGGAGGAAGAAGAAGGAGAAGGGACTTTTAGGATATTTTATTTTGTTAAAGGATACAATACATATATGACAGTATTTATTCTTTTAACTTATAGATAAATGCACATATTTTTTGGGTTTATGAGTGTAGATATAAGTAAGTGAGTTTAAAAATAAACCATAATAAAACTTTATGTTTATTAGCAAAAAACCCTTATTTTAAGATTATGTAAATAAATACACATATGATAGTATTTTATACATATTTTATACATTTGATTTATAGATAAAATACGAGTAGTATTTTGGGTTTATGGGAGTAGATTGAAGTAAATGGATTAAAAATTAACCACTGTAACACTTTGGATTTATTAGCAAAAGACCCCTTATTTTAATATTATGTAAATAAATATTTCTAAAATGTTAAACTCTTAACTATGTGTTAATAAATAAAATTGTATAATAAGATTACTTAAGAAGAAATGTATGAATTAATTACTATTGTGTAGTTATTTTAATTAAATATTTTTCTTATAATGATATGCTTAGTGCTAACATCTTTTTCAAATAAGTTCCCCAAATCTAATATT